GTAAATGTTCTTCTTATGTATTCTGTATAGTTTAACAGGTTGAGGTTATGGCTGTTTTTTTGTAATTCATCCTAAGATAGTAATTGACTGAAGAATTATCAGTCGCCCACCGTCGGCTTTTGTAAGTAATAGTTCTATATAATGAAATGATCTGCCTTAATTTTTTTTTAAAAAAATGTACTTCTTATGGACCAACCATTCGTCATGTGAGAATCATGTGAATTTCATTTTATAAATGATTTAGTCATAATAAGAATACTCAATGAAAGGGAAAATGAAGTAAACTGTACCATTACCGATGCCCCAAAATCTCAAGAAACTGTTACCTACAATCCCCTCATTTAATGCCATTTTGCATTTATTTTTGTGGGCTTCTGCTCCCTGCAGCATATATAGGACTATAACAAGCCATGTTGATAGCAAAAATTCTTTTGCATTTCTACCCTGCGAAAGTTTCATGGTATTGATCTCTACTGTGGTTCTTTTTCCACTGCAGAATGGTGTTATATTTTGGAATGGGGTTTCAACATTATTGTGAAATAAGCAATGTTCTAAGCATGCATGTGTTCGTCGACCACAAGATTTGGGTAAGCAAAGCAGAAGGGAAAAAAAGAGAGCAGAAACTGGGAACATGAACCGGTAGTTGGGTTCAAAAAAACTGCTCATTAAGGATTGAGAAACAACTCGTTTACCAAAGCTGCTTTCTTTACCGCACATGGAAGCTAGCCATATGATAAATTCAATTTCCGAGACTGTACGTGCTAGACCTAGGTATCCTCTTAACAGCAGATTCATATAGAAACTGAGCGGTCCCCCAAGTCCATGAGCTCCAATCCAAGTACAACTTTGAGAAGCAAAATCCCTTAAATTCTTTAAAAAGTAAATCAACTGGGGGATAGGGCAATCAAAGTACTATAAGGAATACAGAAACACTAATGGAAGATTGCGACATCAGTAAAGAATAAAGATTGACTGTGAACAGAAAAAAGAGAATAAAAACCATGCAACTAGTACTTTGTTTAGTGTGTTATCTTCTGATGAATGAATCCTAGAGAAGGCATTGCTTCATGAAATTTATTGACAGTTTTTGCCCATGATTCACATAAGGAAGTAGAGGTAGTACAAGAATAACTTGTGATCTGGTTTCTGGGCGTGGTAAAAAAAGGACCATATCTCCATTAAAGGAAGAAATCCCCTAAGGCACAAAAACAAAACATATTATGGCATTCATTCATTCATTCAGACGCCTCTCTTCATTCCTTCTTTCTTTCTATCTTTCTCTCTTTCCTTCCCATCGAATATATCATTTCACGCCTCATATATTTTCTACATCTTTCTTTCTGTCTCTCTCTCATCAAGGCTGCTTAATCATACCTCGTCATGCCTTTTCATCCAAGTAATTCCACTGATACCCTCCCTTTCTATGCATCTTTTGTCCCTTCCCTTTTTATGAACATCGCTCTGTCAACTTCAGTCCTTCTCTCTCAGATATTTCTCTGATATCCTCTCTTAATCCCTCCATGTGCCTGTCTGTTCCCTCTCTCCTTTTATATCCGATTCCTTACTCTCCCCGTTTCATGCACTTTCACCTACGTCTCTCTTTCTAAATCTCTTCACTCTCTCTTTCTCTCTCTCTATCTAACTTGGTAGCTTTGTTTGCTTCTCTTTGTTTTCTTCTTGCTTTCCATCCATCATGGAACCTCAACAACAGCAAAACCAACAACATCCAAATGAAGATAGTAGCGGCAGTGGCAAAGGAAGCTTTCTTTGCAGGCAAAGCAGTACACGGTGGACTCCCACCACTGACCAGATTAGAATATTGAAGGACCTTTACTACAACAATGGAGTTAGGTCCCCAAGTGCAGAGCAGATTCAGAGGATCTCTGCTAGGCTTAGACAGTACGGAAAAATCGAAGGCAAGAATGTCTTTTATTGGTTTCAGAACCACAAGGCTCGTGAAAGGCAGAAGAAAAGGTTCACCACAACCGATGTCCCCATGCAAAGACCTACTGTTGCAAATGGTGGCTGGAAAGCTGATGATCCCATTCATAATAACAAGTATCCCAGCACAAGTCCTGGTTGTTTTCTAAGCTCTTCTCTTTCCTTTTTCCCTTCCTTTCTTTTTTAATTTCTAAAACCTTTATTCCTATCTTCGTGTCTGTTAGTTTTTCCAAGGATATATAGAAAGGGAGATGTTTTAACTTCTTATTTTCAATGGATTATTGTGATTCTTTTGCAGGTTATTCTACCGCATCTTCTTCAACTGGTGTGCTTACTGTTGGGCAGATAGGAAACTATGGGTACGGGTCTATGACGATGGAGAAGAGTTTTAGGGTAAGTGATGATAGAAGTGTTGGAAAGACAGGAACTTTTTTTGCCTGGAAAGAGCTAACCTGAAATTTCAGAAAAGAAAGAAAGAGCTACCCTGATGTTCTTTCTGTTTCCCACAAAGTTACGTTCTAATCCTGACAAGTTTTGAAATCCTGTTAAAACAGTAAGAAATTAACTAACTTGAACACTTGGTGCAATATGCTATCTTAACATCTATGGCTATCTGGTGTAAATGAGAAAAGGAGAGACATACCATCCCTTGAAACATCTATAAAAAGAAAGAATCCATTTGGTTTCGTATGGAAAAAAAGAGTTCTAAACCTACATTTACTCTCTTTCTGACTCTAAAACTATTGTTCTTTATTTCAAAACCAGGATTGCTCAATATCAGCATGTGGTAGTAGCATGGGTGCAAGCGAATCTGTAAGCCACAACTTCGGATGGGTTGGGATCGATCCTGCGTACTCTTCACCTTACACTCTCTTTGACAAGAAAAAACTCATTGATGGAATCCTTGAAGAGGAACGGGAAGATGATGAAGAAGAAGAAGCTGCTGCTCCACATATTGAAACCCTCCCTCTCTTCCCCATGCACGGTGAAGACATTAATGCTTTTTGCAGCAACATGAAGCCCTCACCAGAAAGCTGTTACTCAGGCTGGTACAGGTCTGATGATGGCTACGCTGGTTCTCGTGCTTCGCTTGAGCTCAGCCTCAACTCCTACACAGGCAGATCACAGGGTTCTATCTGATGAATATTCCCCATTGTTCATCCTAGTATTAATCAATGTTTTCATGATGTCTACTGTCTTCCCAATTAGCCAAGTAATTATGGCTTTAATGTGGTGTAACTACCGGTTTATCCCTTTTTTTTTATGTGCAAAGTTGTCCCGCACTTGACTTGTGTCATGCAAGAACTTAATTAACAGGTTAACATCTTACTGCTTCTGCCCTTTCGCCAAGATTAATACTCCATGATAATGATAAGCATAACACAATGAAAGGATTAAGAAAAGAATAAATGGATTTTGTTGCTCAGTTTAGCACATTTTTACTCCTGGTGGTAAAGTTGATGCTCAGGAAAGTTTGGTTTTATCAACAAGAGAGATATGGAACTTCCTATGCAAATTGTGGAAGATGGTTTTCTGTCACCTTCACTGACTTAATGACGGTATTAATGGTCTAGCCATTTTCAAGCAGAAGTGACTGCAGGACTGAAGATGTTTGAACAATCAATTCCCAAAAAAAAAGGAACTTGAACAACTTCTCCGAGGCTTACATAGCCAGTTGGGCACGGGGTTTTCACGACAGAGATTTAGGTGGGACCCCTTAAGAGGTGAGCCTGAGGCTAGGGAGCTTTGAGTTATACATAGGGTTTTTTTGTTTTCCTTTTATCTTTTTGTCCGCAATGGCTGATGGTTCTGTCAATTATACACGAAGAAACCTTTATTTGCCAATGGCAACAGGACACCAAAGGGGGAGGGCATCATCAAAAGATCCATGAAAAAGTGGGAACAAGTAAGTTTGTGGGTTATGTCTCTAGCCGTTATGATGGAAAGAAGGGTATACATTTTGAAGTTTGAACCAACATCGAAAACACCCCAAATTATTCTGATTGATCCCTCCGGGCTCCAGGCCGAAGCTCCATCCCACAGGCCCAGTTCTCACTCCATACGCCACTCTAAACCAAACAAAACTATACCTTCCGAACATGAACAAAAATTTTCTTGGGCATGTGATGATGGAGGCATAGACATTTAAGTTCTCCTAATCTGCTAATTTCTCTGCTGGTTTGATTTTCTTGCGTCTGTTACAACCCCATCAAGAACAGCTTTTTTGTATAATTGATAACGGTCCCTATCAGCAAGATTTTGGGTGGATGCCATTTCCTTTATTTGGTTTGACATATTTTCAGACTCTGGCATGGGATGAGCCCCAATGTCATTTTGGGGGGCATTGAAGGTAAGAGAGAGGAAGACAGAGAGAGCAGAAACTGTAGACAAATGGCTTTTGTTCCTGGTTGATAGAAATATAAAGAGATTTAGTTGTGGATCCAAGAAGATCTTTAAAGCTTTTTGAGGCCCCAAGTACGTAATGTCCCTTACCAGTAATACTGAGTCATGACCAGCATCACGCTTTTCACCCTGTTTTTGTATAAGTGGTTCCCACGGGCTCCATTCTAGTTGGTTTCCTTACCATTTTGGTACAAAAATGACCTGTTTGAAGCTTTTTCCAAAGGGTTCCATGTGTTTTTTACATAATTTGTTTTGTATTCATATCCATGTATGTACATCTCTCTGTCAAATCCATCATGCATGTCCTCTTCCTTTCTGTAAAACAACTCACACATCCAGGTTCCATGTATCAAAACAACAGTAGATATTTTACCCTCGAGTGAGAGTAACAGCTGTACAGTGAAAGATAGCAATGAGCTACAGGAAACTTACTGCTAAACTTCAAGGAGTAATATGCAGGCTGGTCAACAAGGCAATGCCATTAACGACTACTTATGGCGCTACCTGTGATTGTGTTTGTATGCATTTTTTCTTTCCTTTTTCTCTGTTAAAACAGCAACAGGAAATTGGTACGCCTAGTAGGTGTCAATATACCGAAAAGAATTGAGATTGCAGTAGATGGCATGGCATAATTCCTTAAAATCATGCAAATTACATACAAAAAATACACCTCGACTGCTCTACATGGTCTTACTTTATAGTACAATTCACAACCAGAAGGCTATAAAGTAAGAAACAAAGAAAGTTTTTATACCTAAATTACAAGCTGTTCTCATTCTTAGATTTTTCCAACGGAGGAAAGTTAGCACTGGAGCATCTACAACCTCTCAACAAATAGTTTCATGGACTAGTAAGACACTTATATAAACAGAGCATAGTTACCTTGTTATTGCGTCAGTTAAGGGAATGTCCATGCCCGTTACAAGATTTAACACATGTATGGGGCTGAAGCAACAGAGGAACATTTGCACCAACTTTTCTACCAGTAAAAAGGATGAACCTTAAAAATACTGCTTGAACTTATAATCCTGGGGCAACCACAGCCCTACTTCCTTCCTACATATGCTGCCAATTTAGACAGATCTGGAATCCAAAATGATAGCTCAGTAGACCCAGTTACAAACATAAGACTCCCAGGAGCCCACTTAATAACAGGAGGCTCAGTATCAGTGCTCATCCAACTCCAATTTAATACAGAAGGTTCACTATTCATCATCCAACTTGCAACCTGAAGAGAGCAAAGGACAACTATTAGCATAGAACAATATGACCATGTAAAGAAGCCAAATGATGAACGGAGGAAATAATTTAAATGGGGTGAGGTACAAACTAAAATATAAAAGAAAATAATATATAAAATTAAAACTATTAATTATCAGGAATGAAGTAATACTGTGGATTCATCTTGATCTTGAAAGTTTCCCTTTCCCTGGCTTTGGTTGGGGGTTTAGAGGAAAGGTTAAGGATTACTGAATCTTCAAAGAAAATAGCATTACACAAAGGGAAAGCATGATTTGTCTCATGATTGCTGGGTACCATAAACAATGCCTTGGATACTTTAGTTACTGATATAACCTTTCAAAGTACACGGAATCCAAATCATAACCCAAACAGTGATGAGGGAAGTAATGCCAACAACTAGACCAACATATAACAGGTTATGTAAATAATATATAGAGTAGAGACAGAGAGATAGAGGTTATCTAAGGAACAAGGAATCATACTTCTTTCCCGCTCCTTACACTCCAAGCATACGCACGACCATCACCTGAACCTGCAAGTCATAAAACAAAGAAACTCAAAAACTTTCACAGAATCATACACAGAACTCTTCCCAATACTTCAAAACACAATAACTACATTATAACTTCTCAAACAACAAAAGCAAGAAGATGATCAAATATTTTAAGTTGCTATACCAAGTGAAATACTTTTTAAAATATAAATTGTTGGATATTTGGATATTCAATACCTGATATAACAAACATTCCCTCAGGGCTGAAAGATGCCTCTAACGTGGAATTGCTAGAAACTGGCTTGACATTGTATGTGGATAACTAAAAGCAACAATAACAGAAAAAGAATGTCAACAAGTGTATGCGGACCACTTACTATGATCTTTGATTAATTAGGAAATTTTCACATGGAAGGTGTTTAAGCGTTTGATTAACTCACAAGTGTGCCACGAAATGAATCAAGCACATGAATATGTCCATTCATAGTCGTCAAAAGCATGAGTCGTCCATCATTGCTGAACTTTACAACATTAGCATCAGATACATCTCCCCCAACAGAAAAGATTTCAAAAGGACCCTAAACAATATTCAAAGTTCCCAAATCAACTAAATATGCCTTTTGTAACCAAAATAAAAAAGGCCATCAATGGAACAGCTAAACCCCTAAAGTTATCGTACATGAATTTTGAACCTTTTCAAACTTGCGAGCATCAAACATTCTGATGTATCCTCCAAAGGCAACAGCAAAGACTAGTCCTTGATCATCATAAGCTATGGCAGGCCTTCCTTGCACACGTAAAAGACCCTAGAACACGAACACTAAATTAGAAAATTAGGAGGAAACAAAAGCATATGAAAATATCAATCTAAACATACCACTCACCTGACATTTCTCTGCTCGTTGATCCCAAAGCAGAACAGTTCGATCAAGAGAACCAGAGATGAAGCATTCATTGCGTGAGCATAGGCTAAGTGAAACAACTCTAAAACAAATAATTCAAACAACAACAAATGTCATTGAATCAAAATTGTTATTGCAAATTTTTTTTTATGCAAGCAATTAATTTGTATCAGAAACCAAACCTGTCATGGTGTCCTTTAAAATACCGCAAGTACTTGTTATCATGCAAGGAGAGATGTCGTAACGATTCTAAATCAATGAACTCCACCCATCAGTTAACAAAAAAAAAAGAATTAAATAAAGTCCAAGAAACATATAGAGATAGTTGCAGTGATAACATACCATCCCAACCATTCTTTGAAGAGTAAATAACTGTTGTTGGATGCGAAGTAAAGCAAACTAGATCAACCCCATACTTTTTGCTATTTATTGTTTTCAAACATCTGACAAAATCAATTAAAGTAACAACTAATTAAGGTTTAGGGTTTAAGGTTTCTTATTAAGATAAAATCAACCATAGAACATACTTTTAAATTTATCCAGCAAGAAAAATCATCAACTTAATAAAAGACTTTAAAAATTTGCTTACGTAGCACTGGAAACATCATAAAGGCGGATGGATTCATCTTCACTAGCAGTTACTAAATAATTCGATGTTCTGTGGAAATCCATCGAACTGATTCTACCGCTCTGTTAACAACAATTGAAGAAACAAAAATCATTTTTTAGCTAACAATTCTAATCCAGGCCATAATTGAAATAAAAGAATAAATTAGGTGGTGTAACTTACATAATCTTTGAAAACCATGCCGATTTCCATGCTTTGAAGGATTTCTTCGGTGAGGTCCAAGGATACTTTCTCTTCTCTCTCGGGTTGCGGCCCTGGACAAGCCATTTTATAAATAAAAACAAGCAAACAGTTGATCGTCAGCGGAAGCGACGAGATCAGCTCAAACTAAATTTCGATGGAAACTTGACGTACCAACCATTTTTATCGGCTTGAGTGACTGAAGTTTTTCCGATTTTTTGGGCGGAGGAAATGGAGAAAGCCCTCGACCTGTGGCGGTGGGCTGTCGATTACTCGAATCGCAACGTCTTCAACCGCCAAGACGAACCGCCGGAAAAAATTTTCGCGTTGGGCTGGACACTCATCGGATTTGGACTCTCCTAGTTGCGTTTCGGGACATCCTAAATCGTAGCCTGGGCCGTGGCCCACCTTTTTGAACCACCTAAAACGCAGCGTTTTAGTGCTGACATAATTTTCACTTTCTCTATAAGTTATAGATAAATAAAAAGAAAAAGTAATAACAAATATATGCCCCTTTAGATCCTTTCTTTTAATTTTTTTTATAAAAGATATTAATCATAAATCTTAAGTATAATTTCATAATTTTATTATTTTTATAATTCATAAATTTTTTTTTATGAATTTTATAAAAAAAATTACATAACTTTGTTAAAAGAAATACATCTTCACTTTTGAGAGTGGAATGATTTATTCAATTTAATGAAAATTATTTGCACCGATATTTTTAGTAATTAACCTATCAAAAGTTTGAACCAAAAACATGAAACTGCTGGTTATATGCACATGAAAATTTGATTACTGCAATAAATCTTGGTTTCCACCAAGATTAAATGTAACGACTCCAACACTACCAACTGAACCTTTGGTGTCGCTGTATGGAGTTGTTGACCTGTTACTCGTGAAAGCCACAGTATGGGTCCTGGCACAGAGGGAAGAAAAAGAGATTCCAACATCTGGGGGGGCATTCTTCTGGGACAAGGGATCTAACAAAATCTAATGATTTCTTGAGGTGGGACTTTGATTTCTGGCTCTGATATATCAGTAAATTCAAACCAATAGAAGGGCAGAACCAATTCTAAAGTTCTGCATCTAAGTACAAACTGGAAAAAGCCCAAAACTATGATTCTACAACTAGTTCCACTCCTGTAAACTTCATACATAATTTACAAATCTACATCTCACAACCCCAAATTTCATCAGCCAATCTTCAAACGAAAATCCCTGAAGGTCAAGCATCGTACATGTAGTTTTAACAAGATAACAAACTCACATCTAAATCATGAGAATATGTTCATCACATAACTGGTACAGGCATGACCACTTCACCAGTAGCATCCATGTTCGAACTACTAGCACTGGAGTCCCGATTCTCCAACCTGGACGCCTTTTTCTTGATGAACTCGATGCAATCTGCCACGGCTTCGCTATGGTGAGCATCCGCTGGGTAGTATTTTCTTGGGGCTGTCGATGAGCCGGTGTGATGATGCGAGGTCTTGGTAAGAGCTGATAGCATGATCAGACGAAAAACTGCTTCCCGGATGCGTTCAAGCAGGGTCATTGGTGATAATCGTTTGTTCTTGTTGCTGCCTTTGAACCTTGGCATGCATAGAGTACTGCTCTTCATTTTCTTAGGGTTGCCCCTGGTTTTTTTCTCCATTCCCTGGTTGTTTGCCTTTGGTAATGAAGGCCTGATATAGGAGAATCTAATGCACCAGACAATTTTTATATGCATGTATTTTGTTCTGTAGCTTAACGTAACAAGTAAACAAATATGCATCTCTTATTTATTACACGTTGTAGATTTTCCAAGATCTCTCATTAATGATTGAAAAAGGAAAACATCATCGAGTTATTCAAGTGGGACCTGAAACAGGAAACCTTATTGGTTAATCATAGAGTATCAGAATTTTTTGCTGGAAAATGCTGGGAATCAGTTGGTTTAAGTCAATGCTGACCACAACAAAGCCATTCGAGCAAAGCAGGTTTAGAGTAGGATTTTGTCTTGTAATGTCTCATGACAACTCAACCATGTTAACTTTACACACTATCCCAACTTGGTTCTGAGTCAAGTTCATGCATGTAAGGGTTAGAAAATTCGATTTGGTTAATGTTATTTTGGTATCAATTCTGCTTTATTACTACCATGACTAAGTTGTTTCCATTTTACTCTTCTTTATTTATATCAGAAGTAGCCCATCATAATGACTTCATCATATTGCAGACCAAGACATTTTAATCCACAAAAACAGGGTAAAGAATATAATTTCCATTTGGAAATGGTCCCACCTCAATCCATGGCCTAGAGTTCGGGGTTTTGCTTGTAATTAAATGGTAAAATATTGATTAACAAAAGCACGTTAGCAAAGCTTTTTGTCTTGACTGGTACTCTGATAAGGCTCACATGGATACATGTGCTTTGGTTACATAATTTTAATGCAATCTCTCATGGCTCACCACAACTGTATTAAATTCAATTCAGCCGACTTACCGACCATCAAGAATCATTTGGTTTTACCTCATTTGAATAAGACGTGAAATGTTCTTCTATTCTGCAAAATTCTCTGTCATGGATCAGTACAAACAGATACTGCAAACAAAGGGTGTGATGAATATGGAGCTTGTTAACTATCGTACATGGGGTGGGGGGAGGGGGGAGGGGGAAGGGAGGAGTGACTCCTTCCACCATGCTTTGAATTGAATTTGCTGTCCCTTGTCTGTCTGTTTTTGTTTGCAAGATTCGTGAGCATTGAGGGGACCTGTTGGATTGACTTTTTGTCAGCTAACATGAATGTATCATCAATTCTGATATCAATCACATCATCGAAGGTTTTCACTTTACTATAGTAATTTTATTTGTTATTATTTGAAAATTTTAATGATAACTCTATTATATAAAGTTATTTTGATACATTTTAAAAATTTAAATAACTAGATCTTTAAGATTTTAAGTTCAAATTTTAACATTTTAGGTGTTTTTTTAGTTTAAATTTAATTACTTATTAAGTGATTAATTTAAGTTATTTTAATTAAAATTTATATTGTTTTATTTTAAATTACTTTAAGAATAGTTATTGTTAATTTTTCTTATGAGCTAATTTATTTTTCTAAAATTACTATTAAATTCATATATAATCTAAATTTTTAATCTCTTTCATGCTTATTTTCAATGAGATATGAATTATTTATTTCAATTTATTTTTAATATTTTTAATTGCTTAACCACTAGTTAAATTGATTTAAGAACTTAAATAAATTTGATAAAGAAAGTTTAATGTAAATTAAAATGAAGATAGCATATGATTTAACAACTTAATAAAGATATGCAAGTAGCATCCATGAACATGATCAATCACAACTTAGATTTATGTAATGCTAATCTAATTTACAGCTTCTGATTCTTGGACTAAGGCCCATCTCACAACTTTTTCTAAATGAATGAGGCCAAGAAAACATACACCCAAGGATAGAAAATTAAAATTTTAGGATAATGATCTGTGATTATTACACAAGCTCCAAAATTGAATGCCTTTCTCTCAGACCATGGTAAAGGTCAGTAGTACATAAAGTCCACAGGGAAGCAGTGCATGATCAGCTAATAATGCCTGTGGACCTCATTTGCTTTAAGGGACTGATCATCTTCTTGACTTCCCTTCTTCTTGTAAAAGAGCCATCCTACCACTGAGATTAATGACTTCCTTCTAACTTTCTTAACCGTGGCTGGTCTTTCCAGCTTTTCCTCTCTGTTGACAATAACTTGAGCTAGTGAAGGAGGGCTAGCAAATTTCACATATCTCTTCTTTTGGAACTCCTCTGGCTCTTCATCCTGTGTCATGATGCCTATCTTGGTTGCGGTTTCCATGAACTTGAAGTCTTCCATATCAGGATCAAACCGCTGCTTCTGATCAAACTCTCTTGCCTTGAGCAGTTGCAGCTCCTTTTTTGTTAGTTCGAGCTCTTCTCTCAATGTCTTTATGCGGTATGACATCAAGTTTCCTTCCTCTCTGGCCTTCTGCAGGCTTTGCTTTGTTTCCTCTAGCTCGGCTGTAAGGGCTGCAACCTTGGATTGACCCTGCCCACTTTCTCCTGCCTGAGCCTTCATCTGACAGAGAAAACTAATTACCCATCATTTTTCGTTTATTTTGTCACATTTTAAAGGCATGAACTGTTTCATTGGTTTCCTTAATGATGAAATAGGCAACCCAAAATTTGTTTAGACAACCTTAAAACAGAAACATGCATTTGTAGTAAAGTATAGATGAAGAGACAACCTCTTTGAGCTTGCTAGCATAAATTTCTCCAACCAGAACTTTTTCTCCGAACAACATGACTGCCTCCTTAACAGACCGAAACGGCGCCCTCGTGTCAATCTCCGCCCGTCCGATGACAATGACGCCGCCTTCCTCCCTCTCCATGGCTAGCACTGTCGAAAGCTGGTGTCCACTCCAGGTGAATGGGAACTGAATGGATTCCTTAGGCTCAGGTGGTGACAAAGATGTCCTTTTAATACAAGTTACAAGGAGAAGAAGAAGAGAGATGAAAGTGAAAAATAAAGAAAGGGTCGTTAGTAATGGAGTTTGATATGATTAACTTAAGCTTATGAAATTATGAAGGGTTAGTTCCTTCGCGTCCACTTCACTGGAATTTTGTTAATTGAAGTTGACAAGGGGTGGTTGCATCCTCCATTGATGATCCATGTTGGTGTGTTTTTTTTTTTTTTTTTGCTTTAATTCGTTAGTTCTAATGTGAAACCGAACGCACTTTCCCCTCCTCAGCCTTCGATTAGGACATGCCTCCTTTCTTGGTGGAGCCAGTCCCCCCTAATAAAGCTCCTTTAGCCTTTAGTGGACCAGAATTTGTCACTAATTTTGAATTATTATAGATAAAATTTTCGAGTTATCATCGTGTGGTATTTAATCTGAATATTAATAATTTTATAAGTAAATATAAATTTGAATGATTAATGATTACGATTCTAAACATATATATATATATATACAATTTATTATGTGTTGTATAATATAGTTATGACATGATAAATTTGTTTAAATAAGTATCATTATCAGATTTAACATGTCTATTATACGAATTGATATAATAATAAAATTAATTAAATGGTTTTTATAAACAACATAAACTTAATTAAACATGTTAAACGTTTATGAGTCTCTGAGTTAACTTTGGGCCAGAGTTAGGCTACAATTACGTTGAGTCCAGTATAATCGGGTCGAGGATCAGGTTTTGTCAAACTTGAGTAAGCATGAGATCCCAACTGAGGCTGAAGTCAACTCTTGGGCCAACTCTTGGCACGCGTGACAGGCCCGTGATCCTAGGAGAGGGCTCTTCTCCTGTTTCTTGGCCTAGTAAAAATTTATTAAGAAAATGTTCAAATACAATTGAATTCCACGTAATGAGTTCTTAGTATATAAATATCTATTATTTATTAAGTATATTTTTTAAATTAAAAATATAAATTTATAATTTATAAATTTTTTAAAATATAAAATTATATGAAATTGAATTTCAGTTGAAGTATTTGATTTTGTGAGTGATGTATACATGTTTTTATTAAAAACTAATCGAATTCAAATTTATTGGTTTGCCAATAAAAAGAAAAAATAGTTAGGAAAATTGACTAGTATAATTTCTTTTATTTAAGAGAATGAGAAACATAAATATAAACTACTATGCAATTTGTGTTACATGCTCCGGATATTATATTTTAATTTCTTTCATATCCTTCTCAAACTTAAGAATTAATTAAAAAAAAAAATTTCTTTTGGGCCGAAGGTAGGGTGCCCATTTACGGTCGGAGTCAAGAGAAGTTAGGTCTTTAACCCCTAATCTACACTGAAATTTCATTCTCCAGGAGTGGAGGGTCCCTGAGCCTGAGAGAAAGGGAGGGAACGGAACCGGTAAAATCAAAGAACTGCGATCCTCTCTACTGATTCTGCAAATATTTTCAATTCCAAAACCCTAATTTAGTTAATCCCAAAAAACCCTTAAATTTTATATGGTAGAAGAGACGAAATTCAGCCTTAATTGGGAGTTTCTCAGTTTTGCAATCGTGAAGAAGAAGTGAGAAGAGAAGAGAAGAGGAAGAGTGACAGTGCAGTGGTAAAACCCTAGAAAGGTAGAACTCGAAAAGGCTAGGGTTTTTCCCCCAACCATGAGTCCTATTCAGAATTTCGAGCAACACTCTCGCCATCTCGTCGAACCTGACCTCCGTACTACCTCTCTCTGTTTATTCATTTTACTGTTCTGTTTGTTTCATGATAAAATGAAGGAAAATTTAGAAAAAATTATTTACTTCTTTGTAATTTTGTGTTTTTTTTTTCCTTCTGGAAACAGCCATTCAGACGAGGTTACAAATGGCGATGGAGGTTAGGGACAGTCTCGAGATAGCTCACACTGCTGAGTACTTAAATTTCCTCAAATGCTACTTCAGAGCCTTCTCAGTCGTCCTATTACAGATTACAAAGCCCCAATTCACTGACAATCCTGAGCACAAACTGCGAAACATTGTAGTGGAAATTCTCAATAGGCTTCCTCATAGTGAGGTCCTTCGACCTTTTGTTCAGGACCTGTTAAAAGTGGCTATGCAAGTGCTAACTACTGATAATGAAGAAAATGGCTTAATTTGTATACGAATTATCTTTGATCTTCTTAGGAATTTTAGGCCTACATTAGAAAATGAGGTTCAACCGTTTTTAGATTTTGTTTGCAAGATTTACCAGAATTTTAGGTTGACAGTTAGCCATTTCTTTGATAATGCTGCGGTGGGAATGGAAGTAGATGTGAAGCCTATGGATACTGCTTCAGTTTCGGATCAAGGGATTACTTCAAGTGGATATGTTGGGAATGGCCAGTTGAATCCGAGTACACGGTCCTTCAAGATAGTTACGGAGAGTCCACTTGTAGTTATGTTTCTGTTTCAATTATATAGCCGTCTTGTACAAACAAATATTCCTCATTTGTTACCTTTGATGGTTGCTGCAATATCTGTTCCGGGACCTGAAAAGGTTCCTCCCCATTTGAAGACTCAATTTATTGAGTTAAAAGGTGCACAGGTTAAGGTGTGTGATTCTCTATTTCCGGCTCTCTGTTGTTTCAATTGTTAATTTGCTACATAGTGAAATAATTTTTCTTATAAAACTAGGTCAAGGCAATGCTCTAGATGGAGAAGAGTATGATTGGTTTGTTTGAGTCTTTGCATGTCCATGAGTGTGCATGATCTGTTTTTGAAGTATGGGAAAATCTCAATTTTGTTTTGCTGTGTAGAGAGGTTTCCTTGTTTGAAACTTTTTCCTTGAATCAGATCAGTCTTTTGTAGATAATAAAATCGAAAACTGAAATTATCGAGGCCTCAGTTTTGCTTGGGGATGTAAAAAGGATGTAGCTTTCCAGTATTCTTAACGGGTCTGATCCTTGGAATTCTCTGTGCTAAAGGCCAGGGAGTATTTATTTTAATCAATCCGTGAAACCAGAAACACTTTTGAATGGCACTTCTTCCCAAATTTATCATGTATGGTTATATCTTCAAATCCTTTCATTTGTGATAAAAGCAAACCCTGCAATTTAGTTATCTTAAGCCCTTTCTTTTCTCTTCGAATGCACTCTATTTGTTTCCTGATTTTCGTTCTCCTTTATCGCAGACAGTTTCCTTTTTAACATACCTCTTGAAGAGCTTTGCTGATTATATCAGGCCACATGAAGAAAGCATATGTAAAAGCATTGTGAATTTACTTGTAACATGTTCTGACTCTGTGTCCATTAGGAAGGTGAGTTATGTCTTAATTTCGGTCCTTCTTCTAGAATTTTGGTTCTTCTGGTATTAAATTTTGATGCCTGCTTGTGTTGAATGCAGGAGTTGTTGGTGGCCTTGAAACATGTTTTGGGCACAGATTTCAAGAGGGGTTTGTTTCCTTTGATCGACACATTATTGGAAGAGAGGTAAAGGTTTTGTTTCATCCTTTATCTATAATTTCAAAGAAGTGCCTAGTGCTGATGTCAGGTCAAGAATCCCTTGGATGGTTGGGAATGTTGTACTAAAACGATACAATTTCAGTAGTTGTCAACTTTTATTTGTAGCTAAGCTTAAAGACTAAAAGAATGATCTGTCTTTCTCAGATTTTGTAGATTTGAAACATAAATTCATTGCGGTAACAAATTTTGTCTTTTAGCTCCAAAACTTTGCGAGGAGACTTTACATTACTCTATTCATTGTCAGTGTTTTGAACCCTAAATTTTTATTTTGACAGTGTGATTGGTCTGACCATTTGATAACTTCATTAAAGCTTTGAATTTTCTGTTTATGTTTTAGAACAATGTATGGTACATACCATATGTAGGCATGATGATGAACTTTCACCCTTAACCCCTTAATAAAATAGAAGTGTCCCCAAACTTTGACTGATAATTCTTATGTCTATTTGGAAAAAAATAGCAGTTGCTAGAATGTATCTTATGTTGTGTACTATTTCTTTTTCCTTTAAGCATGTGTGATGTAACAACTAGGCAGGTGGATATAGTTATTCCACTTTAGTGTTAATTATCAATTTATAAATTTGCTTAAAATTTCATAGCTAAAAAGTTTATATGCTTTGACCTCTGTGTCTGCTTTCTTCTAATGAAGCGGATTCAAATGTTGAAGAAAGTCCATTGCTGATATTTTCTTTGATTTTGTGCATGCCAATCCTTGCATTTGATACTTATATTTTCCTTGGATTCTTACTTCAGGGTTCTAGTTGGAACTGGGCGTGCTTGCTTTGAGACTTTGAGGCCATTGGCATATAGTCTTCTGGCAGAGATTGTTCATCATGTCAGGGCAGACCTTTCCCTGTCGCAGGTGTGGTTCTCTAATCATGGTTTTATCTGACTTCTTCTCTCTCCCATTCCTCTTGTTATAGATTTAAAGATTGTGATGGGTCAAGTGGGCTTTTTGTTCTGGTGCTGATGAACTTTATTTTCTTGTTGTAGTTGTCACGAATTATATACTTGTTCTCAAGTAATATGCATGATGCTTCATTGTCACTCGGCATTCATACCACTTGTGCGCGGCTGATGTTAAATCTGGTGCCTTTTCTAACTCTATTACTATGTTTCCTTTGCATCTTATAAGTATAGTGATGGATTCATCTCATGTTTTGCCATTGACTATAAGTCATGAATTTCCTTTTTAAAATTTAGGTGGAACCAATTTTTGAGAAAGGGGTTGACCAGCCATCAATGGATGAAGCACGGGTTTTATTGGTATGGGGTTTGATGTAACTTTTCTGCTAGCTTAGCTTGAATTGACTCATTTGATGGAATTATCTCTTGCACCTTCGCTGACATCAGTTCTTCTTCAGGGGCGTATTTTGGATGCTTTTGTTGGGAAGTTTAGTACTTTCAAGCGTACCATTCCCCAGGTAACTATGATTGCCGAGTTTTAATATAGGGCTTAGCTTTAAAGTAAAAAATTGGTCTTATGCAACTAACCACATTTCTTTTACTGGCTTTGCGATGATGTCCAAGGACTTGAGTTTCCTATGTTTTTGGGTTGACTGGCCAGTTTTAGCTGCCAGTAAAAATGTTGCTTGCACATAGTTTTTGCTGTGTAACAGTCTCTCTTTTGGATTTGATGTTGTCACCTGGGCTTTATAAGTGTGGCATGTTATGTGTTCGGCATAATCTAGTTGTAGCCGGATCTTTCCTCCAAAGAGGGTGTTCCAAATTCAAATCTTCTA